TGGAAAAGACAATGGAAAGTACTATTTAGGAGGGTTTAGGGTTTGGGGTTTAGGGTGTTTAGGGTGTTTAGGGTTTAGGGTTTAAGGTTTAGGTTTAGGGCTTTGGGTTTAGGGCTTAGGGTTTTAAGGTTTAGGAGTTTTGGGTTTAGGATCCTAGGGTTTAGGGCTTGATGGTACCTACTTTGGGGCCTGAAGTCCAGGGTATATGTGGACATTAAAGGGGTGATTTTGTCTGTCTTCGAGCGTCGTAGGGCTTTCCACCTGGTGTTTAGTAGAAAATTTATGAGGGAAGAGATCCCCATGGCAATCCCTGTACGATTCTTCATGACTGTCCGCACAAGACATACCCCCATTCCTGGCAAAGCACCCGGAGGTATTCTGGCCCATCTCTCAAGGTCCCGAAACCCAAAGAGAAAGCCATTTTTGGAACCTCTTGGAACCATTTTTTCTATCTAAACGAAGATGTGGGGTGAGGTCTGGTGCGGTTTGAAAGCCTAAGCCTTGCAGTTTTGGAGCTTGGGCGCTACGATAGAATGTATATTAGGGTTTAGGGTTTAGGGTTTAGGGTAGCTTGCAGAGCATCAGCGGCACGTGGAGTCTTGCAGAGTCGTCCGCAGGGTCCATGGTTTAAGTGTAAACCCTAAACCCTAAACCCCCCCAGCCAAGAACCTTAACTCTAAAACCTGAAGGCAAAACTCCAAGCTAAGCAGTTAGGCCATTCCCCGTGGGTACTTGGACCCGATAGGTTTGCCTTGTCCCAACCCTAAACCCTACACTTACAACCCTAAACTCCCAAAGCGATATCCTGAACTCTAAACCCTAGACCTCAAATTCTAGGCCTGCCGTGGTGGATTGGAAAGAATGGGAAAGCACAAATATAGAGACCCAAAACACTAGAATCCCAATTATAGGTACCCCAAAAAGGGACCCCTCATTTTTTAAAATCCCAAATCCCTATAAATCACTACATAATCCCAGATTTCACTTCATGTTGCGTGTTCCCTTCCCCTTGATTCTCTACATGATTGGGCCTTCTATGCCAAGCCTAGACACTTAACCACTAAACTCCTAAACCCATTGGGGGATGAGGCAAATGGGCCTGCTTTCTGTCTGGCACAAAGACGATCACGGGCTTTTCCGGTGAGTAGTGCTTGATGGACTGATACACCTTGCAATCTTTGGGTTGAGGGTTTAGGGCTTCCCGGTTTAGGATTAAGGGCTTAAAGCCTGAACCCTTTACAATAAGCCCTAAACCCAGTTTGGAGAACCTGACAGCCTAAAATTGCAACCTGGCAGTGATAATTTCAGGGCTTGTGGTTCAGGGTAAAGGGTACTGGTTTAGGGTTTAGGGTTTAGCGTTTTAATTCAGAGTTGGACTGAAACTCCACTAACACTGGTCTGGATGCCAAAGTAGGTGGTAGTAGACCTCTTAAGGCCTCTATCACACTACATGTCGCGGGCCCCAAACCCCCCAAACCCCTGAACGATCAAACCCCCAAACCCTGATCCTTTTGAGATTATACAGGGGCATATAATGGGGGCCTATAAAAATGTAAACTGTCCTTCAGCAATAACCCAGCTAGCCCCCTGAGCAGAAAGCCTAAAAACCGCCTTAAAAGGACTTGGTGATGTCCCCGACAAACACCCCCTTGCAACATTGGAACCGCTCTGCGAAAGTACAAGACCCATGCAACATCTCGATGCATGACCTTTTGGCTCGCATGACGTCCCGAGGTGGTCTGCTTCAATAACCGGTACAGCATTCAGGGCTAGGGTTTAATGCTCTCTCTCTCTCTCTCTCTGCAGAGCTTCTTTCCTTGCCACGACTCTTGGGAAGCTTCCATGAACCCTTCTCAAACTCCTCCAAGGTTTTAAGCTTAGGGTCCCTGAAATCTTGGCCCTTGACCCTGAACCCCAACTCTTTAACTTGTGAATCCAAAACCTTTAAAGCCCTGGGCCCGGAGCCCTATAACCTAAACCAAAGCCCCCTGCTACACTTCTAAATCGTATAAAGCCCGCCTAAACCGTTATACACATACATCTCTCTCTATGTACTCACTCCCTATTTAAACCTATTGAACCCCCAGACACCTCCCTGAAACCAGTCCGAGAGACGGGTCTGCTCATGGCCAACAACCGCGTCGAGCCTGGGAAGCTTTTTGTTACGCATCGCGAGACCCTCAACCCTAAACACTGAACCTTAAAACCCCAAACCCTGAACCCGGTTTGCGGGTTAAGGCAGGTTATAAGGGCTTGAGGGATCTCAGCGTTCATGGATTTGAGGTTCAGGTGTTTAGGCTCTTAAAGGTTCAGAGATTCGGGGTGTAGGTTTGGGGGCTGAATGACTGTCGCTTCACCGAGTCCTAAATCCCACACCCTGAAGTTTATACCCCGCGCCAGCAACCCTAAGCCCCACGTCAAAAACAAACTCTCAATTGACAGCCTAAACCCTACACCACACACCCCAAACCAGAAACCCCAAACCCTACAGCGTAACACGCAAAGCTTGTTTAGAGGGTCAGCGGGACTCAGTGCGCAGACCTATGACATCTGAGCTAGAGTGTAAACTCCTGGTAGCCCCTTTAATAACCCTATAGTACTTCCCCATATAACCCCCCTTTAAGGAGTTTAGACTATGGCTCCTCTAGACCCCAAGTAATGTCCCCAGTTGCCCCAAAGATTGGTCTACTATTGCTGAGTCCCCCAGACCCTCCCAATAAACCACCACTAAATCCTACTGTACAATATATTCCTCACACCCTTGCGTATTCCATATATGGAAGTTTCCCAAAATAACCGAACCCCAATATGGACCCCAATATACTATAATCCTTATTATAGGGACCCCCAAGAAGGGACCCCCTAATTTTGGGAAACCCCCATATAGCCTCTAGAACTCCCTTTAAACCATTCCTCGCAGCCGAAGCCCTGAAAGCCTAAGCCCTAGACCAAACCCTAACCCGTAAACCCTCAACCCTGAACCCCAAACCCTGAAACCTATGTATCACTACATATCCCTGTAACTCGCTATATAACCCCTTTAAGTCTTTAAAGGGTCCTTCCTTAAAAGCCCTGCAAGAAAAAAACCAGGTCGTGGGCGGTGGTGGATGTCGAAGCCCTGGATGACCAGCTCCAGGGGCACCGTTCCTTGGGCTCTCACAACTCCCAAGAAATTTAGGGACCCTTTAGGGTTATTATATAGGGGGCTAGAAGTATACGTAAGGACATCTAGGGTTTGAGATTTAGGGTTTACGCTTTGGGGTTTAGGGCTTAGGGAAAAAGGAGAACCCAATGGAACAGGAAATGGAAAATGAAACGAAAAGCTACCAGATTGTCTAGGCTTCAGGCTTTTAGATACCCGTTGCCGTTGGGGGGGGGGGTTATAGGGATATAATATATACATATATACAGATATACATATAAACATATATACATATATACATATATAGATGGATGCATTGGGATATATTACAGGGTTCGATTCATAAGTTCGGAGACATCATGACAGACATTCTACTGAAGCTGAACCAGTAGTCCCTTTACCGCTGACCCCCTGACCCTGAACCCTAAGCCTAAACCCTGAACTACCCGTCAACCCAAACTCTTCACCCTAAACCTCAAGCCTCCTGTCCTTATACCCTATGTATAGTCTAAACTCCTTACTGGGGGTTAAACATGGGATTATATATTAAAGGGCACTATTTAGGGGCTAGCAAGGGGGATATTAGGAGTTTAGACTATAGCTCCTATAATCCCCTACATAACCCTATATATAGCAGTTTCCATTTCATGGTCCATTTTCTTTTCCATTTGGTTCTCCACTGTTAAAGGGGAATACGCACCTTTATTCAATTGTCAGTAAAGGCCAGTTCTTCTTGAGAAACGATTCAGGGCTTGGTAGTTTCCATTTTCTTTTCCATTATCCCAATAAAACCCCAATATAACCCAAATATAACCCAAATATACCCCTAATATAACCCTAATATAACCCCAATATAACCCCAATATAATCCTAATATATTCCTAATATAACCCTAATAGAGCCCGCACAGTAAAACCATAATATAACCCTATAAGGTTCTGGCCATGGGCCTGTTTTTTGTCTTCGGGGCTCAGACTTCAGTGTTTAGGGTTTAGGGTTGAGGGTTTGGGGTTGGGCAGTTTTCTGGGTTCAAACCCTAAACCCTGAGCCCGTCATGCTTGGTGTCGCGGCCCATGTTTGGCACGAAGAAGCTTTCACTTGCTTGTTGAATGTTAGGGCTAGGGCTTAACGTTTAGGGTCTAGGGTGTACACCCTGAACCTAAGCCCCTTCCCCTAAACCCTAAACCCTAAACCCAGGGTCTAAACCCTAAACCCTAAACCTTTCCCCCGCTCCAGGTCTTCCGCCTAGGCGCGCACGTTGGGCGAGAAGTTGAAGAGGCCACTGCTTCCGGCGCCAATCCACTCACCTCGGAGACGTCCAGGGCTTAGGGTTTAGGGTTTAGGGTTTAGGGTTTAGGGTTTAGGGTTTAGGGTTTAGGGTTTAGGGTTGGGCTCTTTCTGTAGGGGTTATGAAAGGGAGATATGGGGATATAGGGTGAAGGGATTTGGGTTCAGGGTTTAGGGATATGATACGAGGGATATATGGGGATATAGGGTTCAGGGATTAGGGTTTAGGGGTTAGGGATATGATACGAGGGATATATGGGGGAACATAGGGTTAAGGGATTAGGGTTCAGGGTTTACGGATATGATACGAGGGATATATGTGGGGATATGGGAATAAGGGATTAGGGTTCAGGGTTCAGGGTTCAGGGATCAGGGTTTAGGGTTTAGACTTGGGGTTAACTCAGGGCCTGGACTATGGAAAAGAAATGGGAAATGACCAGGACATACAGGGCTCAGAGATTGCAGGAGTAAAGGGGCGAAAATACATTGATTATTCAGGCTTCTACAGTATAACTAGAAAAACTCTATGAGAATACTAAACCCCCAAATACGATCATCCTTATCATAGGGACCCCATAAAGGTACCCCAAACTTTAACAAACACCCATAAAAACCTATGTAAAACCCGCTCCCATTTCATCATGCCACTCTTTTTCTTTCAGGTCGTTCTATCTTTATATGGTCAGGGTTGTGGGGTTCCATGCTTTAAAAATGCCGCCATTTTCCAATGGCTTAAACGTGTTAAAACTCCCACTTATTGAAGCCATGTACACTACCATATTCTTTGCGGACATTGGGACGCTGGGGTTGTGTGGGTGAGCATTGAGATGACATTGGACACAAAATCTGAAGTATCTCCGTCACTCAACGAGTGCTCGGCGCGTTGGCAGTGTTTCCAGCATCCTAAGGCCCAAACCCTAAACCCTAGACTCTAGACCCTAAACTCCAAACCCTGAACCCTATCCTTAAACCCTAAACCCTAGACTCTAGACCCTAAACTCCAAACCCTGAACCCTATCTAACAATAGCTCAGAGAGTATGCAGGGATTAAGCAGCCAGGTTTCTACACTAGAATCCGAGGTTGAAGATTTGGGAGCTGGGGGCGTGTTAGGGTTAGGTCGCTTCGGCAGCTTGGGTATCATTCTGCGCCAGACCAGGGGCAAAGGCGCCAAGGGACTCCGCGAACATGGAGAAGCCGAACACGGGGCGCTGAGCAAGCTCCGAGATTTCTGGCGTGAGCAGCTGGCGAAGTGAGGATTTTGCTAGGAGCTCCAGATCGTTACCGTCGGCGTACAAGAAGTTGCCCGATGGGCCGGCGTACGGCCGCAAAAACTTCTTGACCATGGAATCTCGCCCAAGCAGCCTGCGTGTAGAGGCAGGTGCATCTTCTAGGGACTTTAGGAGGGACCCCTAATAGGGACCCTTAATCCCATTAACATATATAACCCCTATATAATCATTATATAACCCCTAT